ATTTGTTTCTGTGGATGATTGCAGTGAAGACACGGATGATATCATATTTGAAGATTTTGCGCGTTTGAGACTCCGAGGAGAGACTGAGGCCTAAAATGCATCAAAAAACTCATCGCATTCTCTATGCTTTTACAGATGGAAGACTCGTTTTTCACTGAAATTTGCCGTACAATTTGAATCCCACGTCAAATGTATTTATTTTCTTAAATCCCTTTTGGTATTCGTAACCCTCTGTAATGTTCGTAACATTATGTCAAAACATTTTTCTGTATTAACGCTATTTATTGACGTAAGAATCGATTTGAGCGCTACTGAGGACTGGGATTAGACGAAAGAATTGACTTTTAAATTTGAAATTAAATTATATTTTGCATTCCAATCATTTTATTAAATTTATAATTCCCTGCTTTTAGTTGATTCTTATTTACTGCCGGTTTATTTGTTCATAAATTCAAATTCATTAAAAAATATTTTAAACAGATGCTAAAAAACATATTTTACAATTGCTTTTTGTGCCAAATTGTTAAGAATTTGAAGCACTGGTACTCATAATTCTGTTTCACAGAAAGTATTTCTTATATTTTTTAATTTCAATAATGATTGGACTTTATTTTAATGGCTTTTCTTACGAATTCTTTATACCGTATATTATTATTTAATTCAACAAATTACTTATAAACTTGTTTTGGTTTATAATTGAAGTCAATTTAAAAGTGATTTTATTATGTATTTGACAAAAATATTCAATCGGTTTATGTATTAATATTTTGTAATTATTTTAAATATTTATTTATGTAATGAATTTACATTCATTTGTATTTATTATTATTATTTAAAGCACTATTCGGTCTCGACTTTGATTGCATTTTTATTTGCTTTTGTCATTTGGACACAAGAACTGATCAAACATTACCGATGAGATTGTTGTCTATTTAGAAAGATTTGTACGTTTTGTAAAATAGATGTATTTGTAATGAAATACACATTTATTTGTTAACACTTTTCATTCATTCAAATTATGTATAGATATTCAACAAATGTGTTAATATTATTGTTATCACTTGTAATCAATTCATTTCTGTATTAATCCATCGATCAATAAAATTATAATTTAATATATCATTCAATTTATTTGTTCATTATTTGCCTTAAAACAGACAAAAAACTTACATTTGATTGTTTAGCGAAATGTATATATTTTACATAATATTTTAAAATGTAAATTATTTTAAAGTAATTAAAGTTAACGTTAAGTGAATTATGGCATCGATTTGTTTGGTAATCAAATTATTGTCTAAATAAATACAAAACTAAATGGAAGTTGAGTTCAGATTTTATCACATTATTTCATATCTAATCAAAATTATTTATTTTTCTTCTTATGTTTTTTGTGTTTATGTTTTCTCTTCTTTTTGTGTTTTTTCTTCGCCTCCTTTTCACTA